TTTCGAAAAGGAGGAATAAGAATATTCATAGTCGTGAAATTTAAATGTATCGTCTGAGTTAGAGGTTGCGATTTAGTCCAGGCACTTTCAGTGAATCCAGTGAGGCGCGCTATATTTTCGAAAAGCAGGAATAAGAATATTCAGAGTCGTGAAATTTAAATGTATCGTCTGAGTTAGAGGTTGAAGGTTAGTCCAGGCAGTTTCATTGAATCCAGTGAGGCGCGCTATATTTTCTAAAAGGAGGAATAAGAATATTCATAGTCGTGAATTTTAAATGTATCGTCTGAGTTAGAGGTTGAGATTTAGTCCAGGCACTTTCAGTGAATCCAGTGAGGCGCGCTATATTTTCGAAAAGCAGGAATAAGAATATTCATAGTCGTGAAATTTAAATGTATCGGCTGAGTTAGAGGTTGAGATTTAGTCCAGGCACTTTCAGTGAATCCAGTGAGGCGCGCTATATTTTCGAAAAGCAGGAATAAGAATATTCATAGTCGTGAAATTTAAATGTATCGTCTGAGTTAGAGGTTGAGATTTTGTCCAGGCACTTTCAGTGAATCCAGTGAGGTGCGCTATATTTTCGAAAAGAAGGAATAAGAATATTCATAGTCGTGAAATTTAAATGTATCGTCTGAGTTAGAGGTTGAAGGTTAGTCCAGGCAGTTTCATTGAATCCAGAGAGGCGCGCTATATTTTCTAAAAGGAGGAATAAGAATATTCATAGTCGTGAAATTTAAATGTATCGTCTGAGTTAGAGGTTGAGATTTAGTCCAGGCACTTTCAGTGAATCCAGTGAGGCGCGCTATATTTTCGAAAAGCAGGAATAAGAATATTCATAGTCGTGAAATTTAAATGTATCGTCTGAGTTAGAGGTTTAGATTTAGTCCAGGCACTTTCAGTGAATCCAGTGAGGCGCGCTATATTTTCTAAAAGGAGGAATAAGAATATTCATAGCCGTGAAATTTAAATGTATCGTCTGAGTTAGAGGTTTAGATTTAGTCCAGGCACTTTCAGTGAATCCAGTGAGGCGCGCTATATTTTCTAAAAGGAGGAATAAGAATATTCATAGTCGTGAAATTTAAATGTATCGTCTGAGTTAGAGGTTTAGATTTAGTCCAGGCACTTTCAGTGAATCCAGTGAGGCGCGCTATATTTTCTAAAAGGAGGAATAAGAATATTCATAGCCGTGAAATTTAAATGTATCGTCTGAGTTAGAGGTTGAGATTTAGTCCAGGCACTTTCAGTGAATCCAGTGAGGCGCGCTATATTTTCTAAATGGAGGAATAAGAATATCAAAGTTGTGGCGGTCTCCACTTGAGGGCGCACGTGCGGGGGTCTCGCCCATTTCTCATTTCCGCAAATCGGCCATTTCTTGTTCTCCTTTTGGCAAGACGCACTCTCGTCAAATTAGTGCGAAAATAAATTCATTTCAAACCCTTCCTCAGGGGTGAGTAAAGTTTAAATCAATCAAAAATGTTTGCTTAACTAAATGAATGTATTTTTATACTTGCTCAAGTAACAATTAATTCATAATGAGCTGATCAAATTTTTGCCATGTGCCATGTGCTTTTTGAATAATTATTTTCTCATGAACAATTTATGCTGATTGTAATTTTTGTTTTCCAGTTTGATTAAACAACACAAAAGGAATTCTGCTGAATTTTATTTGGAAGCTTATCCCTTCAAAGTCAAGAAATTTAAATGTATCGCTGGTGCCGCTTCTGAGTTCTCGCTTTTCCAAAAGAAAAACCCTGAATAAAAAATTCTCACTTAAAATGTGATCAAAATTGATTTTTCATTACTTTGAGCGCTCTTTTGAATTCGCAGCAAGACGGCGCCGAGATCGGCAACCGACACTTTGTCACCGAAAAAGACATGGCCAAGCTCAAGGCCAAGTACGGCTGCGGCGAGCAGAGCGGCCAAGGGGCCACCGAGGCCCCCAACTCGTACGGCAACATGATGCTCGAGGCCGGCAACCAACTTCTCGCCCTCCTCGTCCCGCCCGCATAAATTTCTTGTATTTTAATCAAATTGGTTTCACATTAATTGTTCTTCGGTAGTTTTAGAATTTTTGTAAAATATATCCAAGCAATGTCACATTTCATAGTTTTAATATTTGTCCATCTTCAGGATATTTAAATTTAACTCGATAAAATTTTAACATTGGAAAGTTTGTAGATTTTATAATAAACTGGAGTTTGAAACACGAAAAACAAAAATTTTTTTTCAAAAAATATCCTAATAATTCCTACGCTGAAGTGATTTTTATCTGAATTCTTTTCACATTATGCAAGTTTAATTTTGAATGGAAACTTTGGTCAGCCGAACCGAAATCGATTCACGCTGCAGGAGGAGTTTTTCAGGGTTAAAATCTCGGCAACTATCTGCTTTCCAGGAAGTTCAATAACACGCCCTCTTTATTGCTAACACGCTTCGGTGCTCAGTTTTCGTCAAAGTCATAATCGGAAGAATTTAATAAAGTTTACCTGTTGCCTTTGAGGTATGCAACCGGCAGCACAGGTTAGGCGTTGTATTAAAAAGAGACGTAAAAAGAAACACGTTTCATATAAAAATTTGCAGGAAATAAAAATATATCTCAAAGCGAATAATTTCTGCGTGCTTCATACTTTAAAAATTTGGTATATTTTGGACTTGGATTGGTTGGTTTCTATTCTGGCGATTTTAGGGCTAGAAATATAAAATTATTAATGCTAAAATGTTAAATTGATTAGCAGATCTGGGACCGGAGACCAGATGTTTAATTTCGTGATTCACACACGCATCTGTGCGAGTTTTTTGTTTTGATTGCAGGATTTGCACTTATGTTGGCCAAATAACGTGTGAAAAAAATGTCATTCGCTCCCCGCAGAGATCTGCACCAGCAAACCGACGCAACAGAAAGTGTCAAGTTCATATCAAAATGAGAAAACCAAAACTCTTGAGTTGTTTTTCTGAAACTCTAATATTCTGCCCAATAAATTTTTTAATTCAACCGGCCATTTAAAACACCGATTAAACAAAAAACTCTCTATTCATTTTCTCTCTCATTTTGTTTTTAATTTAATTTTGGTGATTGATTTTATGCGAAATTGTTTCATTCAAAATGTATTGTACGAATTGAGACAAAATACATTTGTTGCTTGAAAGAAATTAAATTTCGAGTATGTTATGGAAAATATACCAGTTTTGCTCTCGCTTAGCAACAGATAAATTGCGTCTGCTTTGATTTCGGCGCTATCAATCTGAGACAGCAGATGCTGCGATGGTCAAAGTTTATCAATGACGCCCCCTGCCAACTGACGAAACCCGCACAATCTGCCGATTTTCCTCAACAACCGCCAGCAACTTTTATTAATAATAATTTGATTATTTAATTACAAAATTTTGCCTCTTGCACGCAAAAATTTTGATGTAATTGAAAATTATGGTAACTCAAAAAGACTTGAATTTTTTAATTAATCAGCTTGCGGCCCCACCTCGGCGCGGACCTCTCTTGAGGCCCCGCGTTTTAGCAACTCGTTTGCCACAGGTGTTGCCGTTTCTTCACATTTTGAAATTTTCTTCTCATTTGACTGATTTGTGAAGAATGAACAACAACAATAATAATAATTAAGCCGCAAAAGCGACAGAAATATAAAAAAGGGGCAAATTTTAAATTGAAAATTTAAGGCAGCAAAGGAACTGTTGAGCGTCTCAGCACGTTTTAATCTCATTTGATACTTGATAGGCAAAGGCAAAAAAAATATTAAGAAATATTGTTCATTTTTAAATGCGTGCATTTTTATGCCAAAAAGAATTTTACGGAAGTAAAATCGGTCGTTAATTTTAAGATATTTTATTTCTGGTCTTAAAATGATAAAAATGTTAATTTAGCTTACAATTAGCAGCAAATAAATTGCCTCGCTCTATTTCGGCGCGATCTGAAATATGAGCTTCTAATCTGAGCCGCCGGATGCTGTTGTGCGGGTTTATCAATCTAAAACTGGAAAGTCCTGCAATCTCTGCCGATTTTCCTCCACAACCGCCCCTCAACTCAAAATCTTGGAGGTTAAGAATAATTTTATCTAGAGCACTTTGATTTAATAATAATTTTTGATCACTAAAACCTAATCTATTGAATATTTTGTTATCTTAAACATTTCACTTTCAAAGACAAATTTTGCAATTGATTGATTGATGAAATTTATGATTTTAAATTTTAATTCAATTTAGCGAATCAAGCGTCCAAGTTGTTTTAATTATGGTCCAAAAGTTTTCTTCCCACGTCTTTATGTCCAGTCTTGCGTTCTTTTTTTTTTAAATACAATAAAGTTAGACAGTAATTTTCAAACTATTGGCAAATCTATAGGAGCAAAATATACAAGGCCAAGAAGAATTTTTCCACATTGTTTAAATCAATTTCCTAAATTTTATTCAGAAATTTGTCTCGAAAGAACTGAATTTGCCTGGCAAAAAAAAAAACGATTCGTGTCTTACAACAATGAATTACGTGAAAATTTTCCTGAAAACTGCTCGTTTTGAAAATTTCCTCAATTTCAAGTAAAATGGCATTAAGAAAAATTTCCCTTAATTGACAATTAGTCTCAATGATTCTTTCTTGAAGCTCAAATTTTTTCAAGGAATTATAATTATCCTTTTTTCCTGGAATTATTTCAACAAGATAGATCAATTTAGATGAGAAAAATGCCAGGAAAATAAATCACTTCACAGATCCTGAATGAAAATGGAAGAATCGTTTTTCGGTTTTGAATAAAACTAATTTTTTTTCAACGAGGACTGTCCCGCTTTGCCCTTTGATGTCCACTTTATTTGCTCTCCAAAATTTTGTGTACAAATTTAGAACTTTTTAAAAATTCAATAAAAATTCATAAGAAATTAATTCGTGTTTTAAAAAAGGGGGAATTCATAATTCAAGTAATGCTGAAGGGAATTAATTATTTCGGCGCGACCACGTGATTGAAACCACGGACGGCGCGAGAGTTTTTATCAATTGGCTCAAACAAAAGCAAGTGGCTTGGGAGGGCACTCGGCATTCGCTCTTCGCTTCTCAATCGCGATCATCGACAGGGCTCGAGTTCCAAGTAAGTTTTCTGTCCCTTCTGGGGAATTTCAAATCCTGTCATGTGCATATTTTAATATAATATATTCTTATTTTAAATGCCGCGATATTTCTGGAATTAATTTATTCAAAACAGTAAAAATATAAATAAATATTTATTCATGATCTTATTTGATAGCTTCAAATAGTTGTTAGTGTTTGCGAATCCTGGAATTGCGTGACATCGCGATCCAGGCCAGTTTTCTTGCTCTGTTTGCCCTCATTTTACGGATATTTTATTCCAAACAATTTATTTAATTAAATTTTAACTAGGCGAGAGTTTGAAACAAAAAAAGGGTGTTTGGCAGATTTTGATGGAACAAAATTGGAGGAAAATTTTTGCTTTGGAAATAGGGTATCAATACGTGAGTGATCATTTCTACTTTGCCTAATTAACAGAGACGCAAAGTAGCAAATGATCAAAAAGAGTTTTTGTTAAGAGATTTTCACATAGTTTTACTGGACTGGAACTGCGAGAATTAATGGAATACCAAAATATTGAGTTTAAATTAGGAAATTCAATTTTAAATGGCTCACAAAAAATAAAAACTCAATTAAAACTTAAACGCAACTTTAGGTGGAATTCAGAAGATCAAAATTTGGTAAAGATCGAGTTAACTTTTTACCAACTTGAATTTCAGAACTTGCAAGAGTTATTTGTGCAAATTTTCCCAAAATTTTATTTCCATTTCTAAATTTAATCATTTTTTATTAAAAGAAACGATGGTAAAATTTGAGTGCTGAAATTCAACTAAATTAAAAGTTTGTGTAAAATGTTTACTACTTTTGCTTGAAATTATTCACTTTAGGGAACATTTCTTTAGCTGTGAGAGTCAAAAAGTTTGACCACTCGGGAAAATATCGCAAAATCTGCAGATTTTCAATATTGTTTGGCGAAAAAAAAAATTACTCTAAATTTCATCTAAATGTTTTTGAAAAATTCATTCCTGGCAAGGTAAAAATTGGTTAGTTAAACATTGCAGGCAAAATTTGCAAAAGTCAAGGTTGAAAATGGAGATCGGAAGTTGGATTTGGATTTTCGCCGTCTGCACTTTTTCTGCTTCTGCCCAGACTTGGGAGGAAAAAATAGAGGTGAGAGTAAACCAAAAACGTATCAAAAATTTCCTTGAATTCAATTAATTTTTATTGACTGGATCTGTTTGAAGATAAAATCGGAGTTTAAATAAAATTATGAGAAAATCAACTTTTTGTAACATGTCCTGAAAAAATATTAACAAGTTTTCTACTTTTCGATATTGAAACTATTTGAAGGCAAAATTATGTCCAACGGTTTGAATTGAAATAAAATATTATTTCAATTTCTCAACCTTTACGACTTTAATTTTGGCAAATTACGGTTAATCTGTTAGAAGAAATAGAATTATGATTAATTAAAGTAAAATAAAAAATTAAAATTACTTTATCATTTTTCACAGAAAATTAACTCGACCGACTGCTGGAATTATGGAACAAATCGATCAATTTTTGAAGCTCCAGGTATGAAAGTTTCAATTCAATATTAATTTTTTTTTTAAATTAAGTTCAATGCTTTCACAACCTTCAAATAATATCAAGCTCAAAATTTATTATTGCATCTCCAGATGTGAAACATAAATTTTTAAGTTCACCCAACTTGCAATTTTCAATTTTTTTAAGTCCCCATTATTAATGTTAGAAAAAGGACGGAAAATTCGGTTTTAAACGCAACTTTAAAAACGATCACACATTTTTCAATTTCTTTTTATTCGAAAATAATTAAGACCAAATATTCTGTGCAAGGTTTTCCAGAAAAGTTTTTTTTTATAAGCCTTTGACTCGGTAAAAATTCAAAATTCCAACTGGATAATCTCAAAATTATGATTTTAGAGAAAAACAAAGTGTCTGGGAATAAAAATTTTTCACTAATCATCGTCAATATTCGTTCAATTTAATTAAAATAATCTGTTGAATTTCATATTAAAATATGGTTTTTGTCACTTTTATAATATCGACGAGTTGACATTTTACTCTTTGTAAAAATTTGCATGTAAAACAATGCGTATAGAAATGGATTGCTTCGCTTTCAAGTCTTGCTTTCCAGTCACAGAAGCACCGGCCGAAAACTCCGTTTGGAGTTTGCTGCACTTGTAACTTCTTTCAAAAATAAAATTTCTCAATAATTGATTTTCAGGCGTTCAAAATTTCAATGACTGCGGCCGATGGAACGAAAGTCATGGAAACCCTCCGTGGGTTGTTTTCCTCAAAACGGTTGATGACAGATGGGATTATGGAGTTCTTGTATCAGACAAAACAATCATCACTTGTAAGTATTGATTAGAGAATTATTGTTTTGCAAGTTTTCAAAAATTAACACCAAATGATTTTTGATTTCTCAATTAGACTATGGGTACTATTTACACAAAGCGCATAAAGAAGGGGAAAAAATTGAACTTTATGCTGGCAAATGTGAAGACGAAGATGATAATGATAAACAAAAGTGCTTCGAGGAAAAAGGTTTATTGCAGAATAAAAAGGTATATATCCTTTTTTGCCGCACTTTCACCAACTTTTGTAAATTTTAGTTTTTTTTTTATTTTCCAAAAACGACGATTTTCTGCTCAAGATGAAAATAATTCAATGTTCCTCAATCTGATCTGAACGTGTAAATTTAATTAAAACCTATGTTGCCATGAATTTAAGTGATTTAAAAATTATATTTCCTGAATTAACGTTCGCTTTAAATGTGTTTTCAATGGCACAATTTTTAAATTTAAAAACGGGATAATAATAAAACTTAAAGGACACTTTTGAATACTCAAAATTTATACGCTATGGTTTCAGATTTTGGACCTAAAGAAGGTAAAATTGAAGCACGGCAGATTTTATTCCAAGATGATCTTCGTTTGCCAAATTGAAAAATTGGATTTGACACCGAATTTGCAGCCTGCCTGTTTATGGAATTGGGACAACAGGAATGACGAACACGAACATTTTTATGGTATCAATAATTGGCATGTACGTATGATTAACTTTTGCCTTTTCCATTTTTAGAAGGCGCGAGTAGCTAATTATTTTGTAGCTTTATTTCTATTCAGATTTTTGCAACGATTTCGTTTACAAAAAAATTGAATTTTGATATTCCAGAAAAAATTGAACGGGTTGTGCATTTTTTTTTTTAACTAAATTTGAATAAATGGTTGAAAAATTATGACAAGAAATTTGACTGGAAAAATCCGTCAAAATAATTCCATATATTTGCCATGATGATGGGAGTTTTTACGAATTCCGTCTTGTTTTTTTTTTTTTTATATATATATTTTAGAAAGAGAAACGGTTTTTTTATCATTTATTTCTATTTTTGGAGAAATTAACATTTATTGGAAAAACGATTCTAGAGCGAGATTTCAACATTTTTAAGATGCGAAAATAGCTATGAATTCATCTACACATGCAATTGTTTCATTAACAAGCAAAATTTTCAACGTAATTACAAATTCAGAAAAACTCATCTCATAAATAGCCGAATAATTAGAATAATTTTTTAATTTACAACCGACCGAAAAATTGTTTTTCCATTTCGTCCCATGGAAATTCTGCACACGTATTCATGATACACGGCCTGTTGTTCCACCGGAACCTTGTTTCACAGGGGTAGGGGGTGGTCCATTGTTCCACGCATCACTTTGATGGCGCGCGCGAATATTCAAAAGCGACGACAGCAGGATCGATTGTTCTATTCACGAATTGTCCAATAATTAATTTTTTCTAGTTTTTCGATTTATAATTATAAAACATCGTTTTATTTCCACAATTTTGTCTCCATCGGCAGCGTAGAAAATTAGATTTCCTACCAGAGCAAAGGTGTTATAGTGAGGAAAAGATTGAAAAAAGGATCTGCGACCTCTACGGGAATTCAATCTGCACATCAAAAAGTAAGTAAAATTGAACCCGCGGAATATATTATAGATTCTCAATGGACGCCACAAAAGTTTTGATTGGTTAGTGACTGGCGTCGTTTCGTTTTGTCTGCCTCTGCGCTTCACTATTAATTTTGAGAGAATTTAGGTTTGAGCGCAAAAAAATTCGGTCGCGCAATCCACGATTTGCGTTCGTATTTTGTGAAATATGTTTTGAAGAAAACACCGACCAAAAATAAGTTCGCCTGGAGCGCCTTTACCTTTCAATCGTCAAGCCCTAGAACGACGACCTCAGCCACCTTCCCTCGAGCAATCTCCCACGCTGGCTGTGCAAGCAGTAGTTGAGACGGAAAATTTAAAGTTTTTTTTTTTATAAAATATTTGTTTTAGTAGAAAAATCCAGCCAACTTTCTTCGGAGTTATAGGCTGGTGCTCATATGTGACCTCAATGCAAGGCAAAGCCAAATGCATTTCAGTGCTTGCGATTGTTCTTCTTTTTATGGTTTGGTTCAGAGCGGCCGCGTCTCTTTTGATTTCGGGCGTTTGATAGTTGTATTGCCCTTTCTGCTCATTTTTAAAGATCCTTATTTTTTTTTTTAATTACTTTAGAAGAATAAACAATAAAATGACTACATAAAATTCCGTTACCAAAATTTCAAAGGCATATATTGCAAAAATTTATTATTAAAATGTTTAATGTTTTGTCAAGAAAGGCGGCAAATTTGATTGAGGGGATATAAATTATATTTTGATAGCCTTAAAAATAAAGAATTTCAAAAAACGAACCCAGAATTTGGGAAGTTGCTCCATTTTTTTTAGCAGCTTCCAACTGATTGCTTCTATTGTTTCAGATTGGACACCATATTTATTTATTGAGCGAGAAAAACGATTTTATCTACGCGCAATGAGGACCGCCCCTTCGCATAGAACCACTAGAGCCTCAACGTGGCAGGATTTGTTGCCGTTTTTTAGTGAAATCACTTCAGCGTCCGTCGATTTATCTTCCATGCCAAAAATACCCAAAGCAAAATCCAAAAAAGGTTTTAATTTAATTTCCATTTTGATTAAATGCAAATTTCAAGGTTTCCAGATTTTGGCCCAAACTAAAGTTTTGCAAACTGCGGACGCCGATCGGGCGAACGTCGCCGAAAAAGAGAAACCGGAGAGGCGCTGGGAAACCCTTAATTGTCAGAAAAAAAGACATCCGAAATTTTTTTTCAGCATTTGTCCGAAAATTATTCATCTGAAATTATTTATCAGAAAACGCTTTTGCTTGCGCACAGGTGTTTAAGTCTTGGTTTATGTGAAGTGGACTAAAATCTAAACTTATTGATAGCAAAAATGTTATTATTTCTTGATTCTGATTTTGTGAGCAGAAAAGCCTTCATAAGATGTGAAAATAAAAATTGATTTTATTTAGCATTCGATTAGCATAAATGCATTAATTTAAAACAAAGCAAACTATCTGAATTAGCTTTCGTGCCAGATGGCACTAAATATAGAATTTGCAACTAAATTCAGTGACAATGTAATTCAATTTGAATTCAAATATATTTTTTTTTTCATACAGCATAAAGTTAACTAAAAAACGGTTTTTTCCTCCAATGAAAAAATTAATAAATAAAAACTATATAAAATAATAAAAGTAAAAATAATACTATACAACAATTTAATATTTTCAATACCCTTGGCACGCGAGTATTTCCATAAAAACGGATACAGGACGTTTGACAGATTCTTTCGGTGCGACACTCATTTAAAAAAAATTCCTCGTCACAGGTGCGGTTTATGAATTGCACGACTTTCTTGTTTTATTGAACTTAATTTGTTCGGAAAATTTTCAAAGTAAAACATGAATTTTAGCGGCGCATTGTCTTTTCAATGGGCGCGGGGGAAAAAAATTGGAAGCGAAAGACGTGGACGTGAACCTCGGAATGCACAATCAATCGAATTCGGAAGAAAATTTGCGGCAGAAATTCAAGGTATTTATCGGGTTAATCACAATGTCCTAAAGACAATGTCCTACAGAAAATATCATAAAGAAAATGCTCTAAAAGTAAGAATTGAATATGTCCTAACAGAAAATATCCTAAACACCTGAAAATTATGACAAGTCATGTGTCAGGTTAGTCAAGGCAGTTTCAGTGAATCCAGTGAGGCGCGCTATATTTTCTAAAAGCTGGAATAAGAATATTCATAGTCGTGAAATTTAAATGTATCGTCTGAGTTAGAGGTTGAGATTTGGTCCAGGCACTTTCAGTGAATCCAGTGAGGCGCGCTATATTTTCTAAAAGGAGGAATAAGAATATTCATAGTAGTGAAATTTAAATGTATCGTCTGAGTTAGAGGTTGAGATTTAGTCCAGGCACTTTCAGTGAATCCAGTGAGGCGCGCTATATTTTCTAAAAGGAGGAATAAGAATATTCATAGTCGTTAAATTTAAATGAATCGTCTAAGTTAGAGGTTGAGATTTAGTCCAGGAACTTTCAGTGAATCCAGTGAGGCGCGCTATTTTTTCGAAAAGCTGGAATAAGAATATTCATTGTCGTGAAATTTAAATGTATCGTCAGAGTTAGAGGTTGAGATTTAGTCCAGGCACTTTCAGTGAATCCAGTGAGGCGCGCTATATTTTCTAAAAGGAGGAATAAGAATATTCATAGTCGTGAAATTTAAATGTATCGTCTGAGTTAGAGGTTGAGATTTAGTCCAGGCACTTTCAGTGAATCCAGTGATGCGCTCTATGTTTTCTAAAAAGAGGAATAAGTATATTCATAGTCGTGAAATTTAAATGTATCGTCTGAGTTAGAGGTTGAGATTTAGTCCAGGCACTTTCAGTGAATCCAGTGATGCGCTCTATATTTTCAAAAAGGAGGAATAAGAATATTCATAGTCGTGAAATTTTAATGTATCGTCTGAGTTAGAGGTTGAGATTTAGTCCAGGCACTTTCAGTGAATCCAGTGAGGCGCGCTATATTTTCTAAAAGGAGGAATAAGAATATTCATAGTCGCGAAATTTAAATGTGTCGTCTGAGTTAGAGGTTGAAGGTTAGTCCAGGCAGTTTCATTGAATCCAGTGAGGCGCGCTATGTTTTCTAAAAGGAGGAATAAGAATATTCACAGTCGTGAAATTTAAATGTATCGTCTGGGTTAGGGGTTGAGATTTAGTCCAGGCACTTTCAGTGAATCCAGTGAGGCGCGCTATATTTTCTAAAAGGAGGAATAAGAATATTCATAGTCGTTAAATTTAAATGAATCGTCTAAGTTAGAGGTTGAGATTTAGTCCAGGAACTTTCAGTGAATCCAGTGAGGCGCGCTATTTTTTCGAAAAGCTGGAATAAGAATATTCATAGTCGTGAAATTTAAATGTATCGTCTTAGTTAGAGGTTGAGATTTAGTCCAGGCAGTTTCATTGAATCCATTGAGGCACGCTATGTTTTCTAAAAAGAGGAATAAGTATATTCATAGTCGTGAAATTTAAATGTATCGTCTGAGTTAGAGGTTGAGATTTAGTCCAGGCACTTTCAGTGAATCCAGGGAGGCGCGCTATATTTTCTAAAAGGAGGAATAAGATTATTTAAAGTCGTGAAATTTAAATGTATCGTCTGAGTTAGAGGTTGAAGGTTAGTCCAGGCAGTTTCATTGAATCCAGTGAGGCGCGCTATGTTTTCTAAAAGGAGGAATAAGTATATTCATAGTCGTGAAATTTAAATGTATCTTCTGAGTTATAGGTTGAAGGTTAGTCCAGGCAGTTTCATTGAATCCAGTGAGGCGCGCTATATTTTCTAAAAGGAGGAATAAGTATATTCATAGTCGTGAAATTTAAATGTATCGTCTGAGTTAGAGGTTGAGATTTAGTCCAGGCACTTTCAGTGAATCCAGTGAGGCGCGCTATATTTTCTAAAAGGAGGAATAAGAATATTCATAGTCGTGAAATTTAAATGTATCGTCTGAGTTAGAGGTTGAGATTTAGTCCAGGCACTTTCAGTGAATCCAGTGAGGCGCGCTATATTTTCTAAAAGGAGGAATAAGAATATTCATAGTCGTGAAATTTAAATGTGTCGTCTGAGTTAGAGGTTGAGATTTAGTCCAGGCACTTTCAGTGAATCCAGTGATGCGCGCTATATTTTCAAAAAGGAGGAATAAGAATATTCATAGTCGTGAAATTTAAATGTATCGTCTGAGTTAGAGGTTGAGATTTAGTCCAGGAACTTTCAGTGAATCCAGTGAGGCGCGCTATATTTTCTAAAAGGAGGAATAAGAATATTCATAGTCGTTAAATTTAAATGAATCGTCTGAGTTAGAGGTTGAGATTTAGTCCAGGCACTTTCAGTGAATCCAGTGAGGCGCGCTATATTTTCTAAAAGGAGGAATAAGAATATTCATAGTCGTTAAATTTAAATGTATCGTCTGAGTTAGAGGTTGAGATTTAGTCCAGGCACTTTCAGTGAATCCAGTGAGGCGCGCTATATTTTCTAAAAGGAGGAATAAGAATATTCATAGTCGTTAAATTTAAATGTATCGTCTGAGTTAGAGGTTGAGATTTAGTCCAGGCACTTTCAGTGAATCCAGTGAGGCGCGCTATATTTTCTAAAAGGAGGAATAAGAATATTCATAGTCGTTAAATTTAAATGAATCGTCTAAGTTAGAGGTTGAGATTTAGTCCAGGAACTTTCAGTGAATCCAGTGAGGCGCGCTATTTTTTCGAAAAGCTGGAATAAGAATATTCATAGTCGTGAAATTTAAATGTATCGTCAGAGTTAGAGGTTGAGATTTAGTCCAGGCACTTTCAGTGAATCCAGTGAGGCGCGCTATATTTTCTAAAAGGAGGAATAAGAATATTCATAGTCGTTAAATTTAAATGAATCGTCTAAGTTAGAGGTTGAGATTTAGTCCAGGAACTTTCAGTGAATCCAGTGAGGCGCGCTATTTTTTCGAAAAGCTGGAATAAGAATATTCATAGTCGTGAAATTTAAATGTATCGTCAGAGTTAGAGGTTGAGATTTAGTCCAGGCACTTTCAGTGAATCCAGTGAGGCGCGCTATATTTTCTAAAAGGAGGAATAAGAATATTCATAGTCGTGAAATTTAAATGTATCGTCTGAGTTAGAGGTTGAGATTTAGTCCAGGCACTTTCAGTGAATCCAGTGAGGCGCGCTATATTTTCTAAAAGGAGGAATAAGATTATTTAAAGTCGTGAAATTTAAATGTATCGTCTGAGTTAGAGGTTGAAGGTTAGTCCAGGCAGTTTCATTGAATCCAGTGAGGCGCGCTATGTTTTCTAAAAGGAGGAATAAGTATATTCATAGTCGTGAAATTTAAATGTATCGTCTGAGTTAGAGGTTGAGATTTAGTCCAGGCACTTTCAGTGAATCCAGTGAGGCGCGCTATATTTTCTAAAAGGAGGAATAAGTATATTCATAGTCGTGAAATTTAAATGTATCGTCTGAGTTAGAGGTTGAAGGTTAGTCCAGGCAGTTTCATTGAATCCAGTGAGGCGCGCTATGTTTTCTAAAAGGAGGAATAAGTATATTCATAGTCGTGAAATTTAAATGTATCTTCTGAGTTAGAGGTTGAAGGTTAGTCCAGGCAGTTTCATTGAATCCAGTGAGGCGCGCTATATTTTCTAAAAGGAGGAATAAGTATATTCATAGTCGTGAAATTTAAATGTATCGTCTGAGTTAGAGGTTGAGATTTAGTCCAGGCACTTTCAGTGAATCCAGTGAGGTGCGCTATATTTTCTAAAAGGAGGATTAAGATATTATATAGTCGTGATTTGACATTATAATTTTTACCTTTGAACCCTTTGGCCAGTTGCTAATTGCGCAGTGGTTTATCAGTTAAATTCGTTGATTTAATTCTGACGTCTTTCACAAAAAGAAATATTAAAAAAAATATGATAAAATTTTTTAATTGTTTAAAAATTAAACGACCTCTAGATAAGTAAAGAACAATTTTAAAAAAAGCGCAATATCAAGGAATTTTTTGTGGTGATTGTGGTGTTTATATTTTCTTTTATTTGAAACTGATTGGTGGACAACTTCAACTTCACTGAAAATTTTACAATAAGCAATTTACAATGTGGCGCGCGTGACAGAATGAAATCAAAGTCCTTTCACTTAATTTTCGAATAGATATTAATGCTACGGACGCGATTTTTGCACTTAGCCAGGTGGTGCTGGGTGCATTCTCGCCGCATAGCATTTGTGGTTTTTATTTTTTATTTTTAAGAGTGACATTAAAATACAATCGAAAAATAAAATATTGGCATGTTTCTAAAATTTCATACAATAAAATATGATTTCTGATTTTAAAATTTATCAATTTATATAAATCCTGGATTGACTTTTTTTCAATTTATTGCTCTTTATGTAGTTTGTAATATTATTATGAGGTTGAAGTTCATTAAAGTTAAATGTTTAATTTTCT